CCCGCTCTGTCTTAGTTATTTCTGGCACTGGGTCTAACTGTTATTTATATTTTTAAATTTTTTAACAATGAGACATATGTTTCTAAATTGCTGAAATCTTAATTTTACAATGGTTTAGATATTCAAGTATATTATCACGTGAAACTTTTGTAATCGACGGAATTTCTAAAGCCGATTGCAATGAGTGCCACGCGGAAGCTTAAGTTTAATGTTACTTGTAATTGTTTTATAAATTGCAAAAACCTGATTAAAAACCTAATACATCAGTTATTTTATTATTGCATCTTTTTCCAAACCCATAACACTTTTTTTTTTTTTTATGTCGTAGAAATATATCTAAATTTCGCTAAACTATTTGCAAAGATGATACAACTATCCAAGTTTTTACAAGTATATATACGAACTGCTTCTACGACTACTGAACAGTTCTTATAAACTGAAACTCTGGAGTAGTACTCCATTGAGTCATAAACAATTTCGTAAATTTTTTTTTAATACCTATTTTTAATTTTAAAAAAGGTTTATGTAAATATTAGGGTACGGAAAAATTTGTATGCGCTGATATTCCCGATAAACTGTAGTATACAGTTATGCGTATGCTTATGCGCATAACTTTTTTTCAATTTCAAATCAGTAAAAACCGTTCAACTGTTTAACTAGAAAGACAGACCAAAAAATGAGTTTTAATGTGCTTTTAAAACAAAAAATTAATCAATCTCAATAGTGGAATAAAAAGTTAAAAATATTTAATTCCACTATTAAATCTTATTAGTTACCGAACTTTTATAATTCATAACTACAATTTGTTAATTATAAAAGTGCTTTAATTTAAAAAACTGAAAATTTTTTAGTTTAAGAACTGCTACTTCCTCTAAAATGTAGTTATTTTTGTCGTTTGTACCCATCAAAACACTATTGGTAGGGGAGAGTGGGGAGAAATGGGACACGCAAATTTTTTTTTTAGGGTAATTGAAATATCTTTTTGATTTGATGTATAAACTGAGCAAAACAAGATTTTAAAAATACACCTTCTTTAAGGCACCGATTCAATCTCCTTAGGTTTCCAGTCAATTATAAGTAAGTATATAAATTTTTGCTTTTAGAGAAACCGTTCCATTGGGGTAAAGTGGGACAAGTGTGAGTATAAGTAACAAATAAATTTGAAACATTATTTTAACACAAATTATTAAATAGAAACTGATAATATCATAAAATCACCTTATCGACATAAAATTGTTCAAGAGCTTTCACCAATTGAAATAATCAAATGTCGACGGGAAGAAGCGGACATAAATATTTCTTTTTTCTGTCCCACTTCACCCCCAATGTAAACACTTTTTTAAGGTACATTTCAAAATTTGGGCTTCTAGCGCACGCGAGGAAACAAAGCAACTTCTGATAAATAGAGGGGATTAAATTTAATTTTTTACAATAAAAAAACAGTAGTTAGGCACTACTCCTAATTAGAAATCACCATTGCGGTTTGGATTCCCTAAGAAATACAATGAAGGACTTCGAATACAAAAAAAAAGGAGATAATTAACAAAACAACAAGGCTGTTCCACTTCTCCCCACTCTACTTTATTATATGAAAACTGTCCAGTCTTTGAAGTTGCAAAATCTTTTATTGAAATGATTTTTTCATCAGCTTAAGCAGAGAGAACTTGGTCGATTTTTCGATTTATTCATTGACGATTGAGAAACCTGTTGACAAACGAACACGTAAAAAATTAGTTTTCATATATACCAATAGTGTTTTGATGGATACTAACGAAAAAAACGGCTACATTTTAGAGGAAGTTGCAGTTTTTAGCGAGTGTGAAGAAATTTTAAATGAGCAAATGTAATACAAAAATAAAATAAATTGTTAAGTTTTGTGATATAAAAATTTGCTTAAAAAACATGAAAATAGTTTGAAGTATTTATAAATAAAATTAATTACAGAAAATCGAATGAAAAAATATTTCTTTTAATTTAAAGTCATCTGCGTTAGATTTAAAAAACATTTTCTTCTATATTTGACAATATTTATTTTTTATTTTTGGATGATTATTTTTTGAAGCAATTGAATTAATAATAGAGATGGATATTAAAATAATATGCATCCCACCTTATAGTACACATTGCCTTCAACCACTTGACACAGATGTTGATAAAGTAGTTAAACATATGTGTTCTGAGGCCTTGTCTAACTGCTTTGTTGAAAAATGTTAATATTTCTATGTTTCGTTGAAACTCTCACATTATTTTTAACAAAATATTGCAGCTTTCATATTATTTTTGACAAAATATGGCCCAACATACTTACAAAAAGAGGATTGATTGTTAATGCGTTTTACCATTGCGGTTTGGATTCCCTAAGAAATACAATGAAGGACTTCGAAAAAAAAAGAAGATAATTAACAAAACAACAACTCATCTGGAAGACCAAAATTTATCTGTTTTAAGGACTATTGTACCTTCTCCGGAAAAAAAAGCAAGCCTACTCACTTAAAACGCCATATTGCTTATATTATATTACCATATAATGTTAAGTTTATAAAAGAGCCTGCTGTCAAAAAGGTTCCAATAAAAAATGTGGTCAGTGTAACAGAAGTAAAAAAAAAAAAGATAAATCAGTCAAAACAAAAACGAAGAACACTTATTTTGCAACTGATTCTGATCACCCTAGTTTTATTCTAAATAATAACATCGATAAAGACTTTGCTGTGCTTGTGTAGCTGTTTAGAGAGAAGCAAATGAAGATTGGCTTAAATGTTTAATTTGCAGTCAATGAGCATGTGAAGGATGTTTTGGAGTTGATGCATATGCAATTGTGTGCAAATGACATATAAACGTTTTGTAAGTTCTTGAAAAGTCAACGTTATACAATTTTTGTTATTGCTTTAACGTGTTATTTGTGCGCTAGCGCGGTTAAACGGTTTTCATTTATCCCAAAATCATTATTTGATATTTTTTAAATAAAGTTTAACAAATGGCGTCTTTTATTTATATGAAGGTATTCTATCTTAAAGCTTTTCGTTATCTGAAGGTATTCAATCTTAAAGCTTTTCGTTATCTGAAGGTATTCTATCTGTAGCTATCTGTAGACTATCAGTACTTCTATCAACATCACTGAGGGGTTTACTGTTCAAGATTAAGAAATCATCCTAATTTTACCTCAAAAATAAATGCTTTATATTAAAGTCTTTTTTTTACTCCTAGGTAAGCTGTCTTTACCACTAGTAAGGAATTTTGTCTATTGTCCAAGTGACGTATTTTTCAATTAGTTTGGTTGTACTGACGAATTCGCCCCGTAATTGACGAATTAGTCCCTCATGACTTAGTGATGAAAAAATTAAGTTCTACGCAAAAGTAACTTAAGAATTTTTTTTGATTCAATACATTAACAAAATAGAGTTAATAAAAATCGCTTTTAAAATAGAAAAGCTTATTTATTTATATGCAAACTGATTTTGTTAAAGGAAAACATGACGAACTCGCCCCTCCATACCCTATTACCTGGTCTACTGAAACGTGATTGGATGCATTACTAGGGTTCAAAATATTAATTTGTTTATGTTTCAAACAAAAATCTGCCTCTTCTCTATGTTTAATACTTTAAATTTACTTTTTTAATGATGCTCATAGTGTGTATAAAGGTATCTTGAAAAGTTTTTAATTTTATTTTAACTATTCTCACACGCTTAATCTGTTTTATTTTAGATTTTATTACATAAGTATAAATTTATTCTCTATATTATTTTTAAGCAACCAGTCGGTGAAGAATTCACCCCCTCCCTCCCTCCCTTCTCCCTCATTTTATTCGTAGAATTGCCTCTGAGAATGTCATTGCACCCCACTCCCCCCTAAATATGGGGGAATAAACGATTTGAGTTTAAAAAATTGGATATATCTCATTTAGCAAGCATTATATATATATATATATATATATATATATATATATATATATATATATATATATATATATATATATATATATATATATATATATATATATATATATATATATATATATATATATATATATATTATATTTAAAATAAATGAAAAATATCTGTAGAATAAATATAAGTTATTTGCAGTTATTTAAGTTTATTGCTTATAACACTTTAAAAAGACAAAAATATTTCTTTTTAAAAACGTCGAGAGAATTTTACTATATAGTAGCATGATCTTTATATAATTAAAAATTGTACATTGAAGTATTGTCATACAAATGACATTTGGATAGCTATTGATTGTTATCGATAGTTTAAATTTCATTTCATTTTCTTGCTTGTATTTCACATCATTTTGTATTACGTTAACCCAAGATCTAAATAAAAACTTATTTACAGTGAGTTCTCTATGAAGACTAATTAAATTTCAAAATAAAAATAAATAAAAAAATAATTACTAACTAACAAGCGTGTTTCGTCTTAAGTTTGTCTTAATTTTTTCTGATACTCGCAACTTCTACACCTTTTAAAAAAAGTATGGTAAATTTCTTACCTTTTTAACGGTTTAATAAGTTGCGTGGTCTTTCTTACATCAGCAGTATCTATTATTTATTTCAGTTTTGAAAACTTATGCTAATAATTTTTAAGAATTAGTCAAAGCAGTGGTTTTATAATTTTTTTATTATTTGAAAGTTTTATAACTGAAGTTATAAAACTTTTGGCAAGTGTTTAATCTCCTGCATCTCATCAACCTGCGACCCACTCGAGCAAACTTTTTTTTAATATACTTCCATTATACATCTTTTTTTAGATTTTTTTTTTTTAATTTTTATATTATTAGTATCACTTTTTTTTTTTTTAGTGCTAAAACACTGGTGGTAATAAGCGTACTTCATTATTTAAATAAAATGTTTTATTATAAAATTACATTTTATTTTTTTAAATTATGCTTATAAAGATTTGTTTTGCGTTGAATAATCCCCGTAGTACGTACATTACTGAAGAAAAACCTGCTGTACAGAAGAAGATGCGTGGTTTCAGCGGCGGGTCCAGTAATGCGCATTTAATCTGAAGAAGTACTTAGATGGTATATGGTATTAATAAATTGCAATACTATTGGATAGGCCGTAAGTGATTTCATTTCTGTTTCCGTTTTTTTCGCTAACATCACAATATTGATTCAGAACTCACCAAAACTTGTAATCATTTATAATTCTTGAACAGTTTCTTAGTAAAACGTTTGAAATGTTAATGATTAAAAGAAACACAAACAACAAAAAATGGTTATGGGAATGTTGGCTGCAGCAATAAAAATTGGTTAGGGGAATCCACAATACAGATCATTTGCTATCACGCGCAAATCTCCTATTGGTTGATTATATACAATGCTCTAATTTATAATGGCAACACAGGCGCGAATGCAGCATTTTTTGATGTTTGAGATACCTAACTTCCAGACATGGAACAAACTCCAAAAATTTATATGTTTATACTTATATCAAACAAAGATGCATTGTAAAAAATTGTGATGATTAGAGCCTGGAAACAAAAAAGCCCTAAAATATTAACTACACCTGCCCCAAACGTGAGAGCAACAAGTCAATAAAATATTTTTTATACTATTCTCAACTAAGTATATATTCATCAATAAATTTTAAAACTCACACAACAATCTCTTAGCGTTCAACAATTATGGCCTTATAAAATTTGCAGCTCCTTCAAACTAAGGGGTTTCAAACTTTTTATGGTCATAGTTTTTGAATGCTAAAAGATTATCTGTAAATTTTAAAATTTTAATTCCCAGGCTCAAATCGTTGCAATTTTTTGCAAAGCATCCTTATTTGATATAAGTAGAAACATATAAATTTTTGTCTGGAAGTTAGGAATCTCAAATATCAAAATATGCTGCATCCACGCTTGAAACAATTCAGTAAAAGCATCTAAGTTGTGAAATATTTGTGCAAGTTGTAAATATTGCTTATCATTGTTCATACTCACTAAAATTAAACTTATTCAGTATTTAAATGCTTTGCTAAAGAAGTTAAGTTTTTGTACGAACAACGTTCAAAAAAATTGTGCAACTGAAACTTGTGAGTTAGCTAGTTAGGATCAAGCAATCAAAATATTTGCAAGTGTGTTTAATGCATTTTGTATATAAACATCAGATAATATTAATAAATCGTTGCTTGACGTTATTAACACTTACATTTAATTGAAATTAAACATCGAGTTTAATTTAAGCATACAATGTAATTACAATTAATCTGGGTATCTTTTTTATTATTGTTATTATTAGTGTTTTGGCAAACTAAGTGGGTGGGTAAGACAAGTCCATTTTCTGATAAATTTATAATAAATACATTTTTTACGTTTTTTAACACAACTTTTCACAGTTTTTAAAACATCTTTATATTTTTTCTTTTTGCCTTTTTTTTTAATAATTTTTTTATTTACTAATTTAGAGAACGCACATTATATTCAATATAATTATTCTCACACTTCTATTTGAGAAAAAAGATTTGTTTTTTAAATATTAAATAAGAATATGACACATTTAAAAAAATTAAAAATGTGTTTTTCCAAAATTAAATATCTCCTCTTAAGTTTGATTGTTTTTTAAACAGTTAGTCTAACGGAAGGTAACGAAAGGTAAAGGGATCGTCCAAAAAGTACGTACGCTTTTATTTCGATCTCCCCTCTCCCTCCCCCTTCCCTCACGCGTTTTACCCCGCGCTTTTTTGAGAACCTTCCACCTCCCTAAAAGTACCTGCTCTTTTTACCTACCTACCCAAATTTATGATAATTTTTAATTTAGTGTCTTCTTATTTATATAATTGACCCACTACCCCCTATTATATATACGCAATTTGCAGACCCTCCCGCGTACTTTCCTTCCGAGCGTACGTACTATATCGACAATCCCTAACGGAAGTTAGATAAACAACTATTAAATTTTACTTATTATTACTTTTTTTGTCTTTTATAATTATTTTTTTTTGAATTTTATTCATAAAATAAAATTTTATATTACAAAAATATTGTTAAATAAAATTTACAAACATATCTAATTTTTAAGAATGCGGAGACTTGCTGAAAACAATTAATTAAGATTAAACGCCACTTTGCTTAAAAATAAATTCTAAGTTGCTTTACAACAGTATATTCTATAGTTTATTGTACGTTTCCAGAAGCAATCATTTGTTGTAAAGATGATTTGCAACATCTTTAGAATCTGCTGAATGTCAAGCACTCGCAGAATTTGCCACATAAAAACATTGAAGTAAAAAACGTAATTTATGTTAATGTTTGTATCTAAAACATAAATGTATAAATATAAAGTAAATTTAGTATAAAAAATAGTAAAACATCTAAATCTAAAAACTATAGCCTAATCTTAAGGTTTTTAAAGATCCTAAAGATAACATATGATTAAGAAGAAATTAAATAAAGATACGATGCTCTTTTAAAAATAACCTTTAAAATATTTCCAAAAAACAGATACAAAAAGCTTGAGTAAAAAAATAAAACTTTTAGATTTTACGCTTAACTTTAATCAGATCAAAACGAAAATTACATATCTACTTAAATTACTAAAAGCGATGAACACAGTTTGCCTTAAAAACTGTACACAAATCTTGTCAAAATTCTCTTCCTACAGTAATTCAAATAAAAAATATACTTTTAATATTTGAAGATTTATTTATAATTTTTATGCTTGGAAAGTCAATAATAAATTTTTTATATAATAATATAAATTTATATTTCTTATTAGGTTAGTGGACGAAGATTTGTTTACAAATTTGTTCAAAATTCTGATATGAAAAGGGCGGTTGACACAATCAAAACGAGTATGATGCGTCAAGGTCGAAGGAGTGCATCTGTGGGTCCATTCACAAATCATCAAATATTAACGGAAAAAATAACTACATTCAAACAAAACAGTTTCAATATTAATGCAGATAACTTCTACCAATCTTCTCCATCATCCCAACATTCATCCGAATCCTATAAGTCATCTTTACACTCTCCGTCCCTCAATGAACCACAGGTGTTTTTCAACACTGATAAAAAAAAGAATATTTTTGAAACACCCAACAGTTTATTGTTTACCAACAACAACATCAAAAATTATAATTGTGACGAGAAAAGTGCTTTTTTAAATTCCGGTATTGCTTCAGATATAAAACATACTCTGCATGCACCCTCATATAACTATGAAAAACAAATTTTAGATAACAGCAATATTTCAACTATTAATGAAAGTTTGCACAATAAAGCTTTTTTGCCATTCAATAATTCAGACAATCCTATGTTAAATAAAAGTGATGTTTTATCAGAAAATTTTAGATTTCAGGACCAGATTAAGAATGATTATAAAAAAATGCGTCAAAAAAATGCAATTGACACAATCAAAACGAGTATGAAGCGTCAAGGTCAAAGGAATGTACCTTTGAATCCATTTCAAAATTATCAAATAATAACGGAAAAAACAACTACAATTAAACAAAACAGTTCCAATATTAATGCAGATAACTCCTACCAGTCTTCTCCATCATCCCAACAGTCATCCTTATCCTATAAATCATCTGCCCTACCCTATCCGCCGCTCAATGAAGCGGAGGTGTTTTTCAACACTGAGAAAAAACAGAATATTTTTGAAACACCCACCAATATGTTGTTTAGCAACAACTACATCAAAAATTATTACCGTGACGAGAAAAGTAATTTTTTCAATCCCAGTACTTTACGTGCACCTGCAAATGACAATGAAAAACAATTTTTAGATTACAGCAATACCTCAGCTATTAATGAAAGTTTGCACAATAAAACATTTTGTCCAGTAAATAATTCTGACAGCTATATGTTAAATAAAAAAGATGATTTATCAGAACAGTTTCGATTTCAGGACCAGAATATAAATGATTGTAACGAAATGTGTCAAAAAAATGCGATTGATACAATCGAAGCTAGAATTATGCGTCAAGGTCGCAGTAATGTATCTGTGGATCCATTCCAAAATCATCAAATATTAACGGAAAAAACAACTACATTAAAAAAAAACAGTTCCAATACCAATGCAGATAACTTCTACCAGACTTCTCTATCATCCCAACAGTCATTCGAATTCTATAAGTCATCTTCACCCAATCCGCCGCTCAATGCACCAGAGGTGTTTTTTAACACTGACAAAAGGCAAAATATTTTTGAAACACCAACCAGTTTATTGTTTAGCAACAACAACATCAAAACTAATTATAGCGAGGAAAAATGTACCTTTTACAATGCCGGAATCGCTTCAGATATTTTTCATTCTTTGCACCCACCTTCATATGACTATAAAAAACTTCTTTTAGATTACAGCAAAACCTCAACTATTAATGAAAGTTTCCACAATAAAGCTTTTAGACCAGTAAATAATTCTGACAATCGTATTTTAAATAGAAAAGATGTTTTTTCAGAAGAGCTTAGATTTCAGGAACAGATTATGAATGACTATAACAAAATGCGTCAAAAAAATGCGGTTGACACAATCAAAACGATTATCATGCATCAAGGTCGAAAGAATGTATCTGTAGGTACGTTACAAAATCATCAAATATTAACGGAAAAAACAAATACATTCAAACAAAACATTTCCAATATTAATGCAGATAACTTCTACCAGTCTTCTCCATCATCCCAACAGTCATTTGAATCCTATAAGTCATCTTCACCCTATCCGCCGCTAAAACCAGAGGTGTTTTTTAACACTGTCAAAAAGCAGAATATTTTTGAAACACCCAACAGTTTGTTGTGCAGCAAAAACTACATCAAAACTAATTATTGCGAAGAAAAAAGTACCTTTTTCAATCTCGAAAATGCTTCAGATATAAATCATACTTTGCATGCACCTTCATATGACTATGAAAAACTTCTTTTAGTACCTCAACTATTAATGAAAGTTTCCCAATAAGTACAATAAGTACCCAACAGTACCTCAACTATTAATGAAAGTTTCCACAATAAAGTTTTTAGGCCAGTAAATAATTCTGACAATCCTATGTTTAATAAAAGGGAGGTTTTATCAGAACAAATTACATTTCAGGACGAGATTATGAGTGATTATAACGAAATGCGTCATAAAAATGCTTCAACAAGTAAAATATTTAGTGATGCAAACTTTTTGCAAGACAGTTTTTATAACGAGAACAAAAATAGTAATTCTTTTTTTTCACCTGAACATTCTGTTCAAACAAATCAACCTTTTCAATACAATAGACAAAAAAATCCATTTTTAAAAAAACATGATATCAAAAAGAAACTAAAACCAATTGAAACTGTAAATGATTTCAAATTTAATAGGCGCTCAAAAATTTATATACCTCAATCAGCCAGCTCTTCAACTGTTAAAACTTCAGTAATAAATTTTCGAGATGTTTTAGAATCGCTAAAGGGGGCTCAACTTAAATTAGACAAAAACAAAAAATATAATTCCACCGAAATAACTAAAAGCGATGAACACTTTTTTACTTACCCTGTAATAAATCGTTTGTTGCAATCAAAAAATGTAAACGCTCAATCTGACGCATCGCCTTGCGTTTTGCCGGATATTTCTACTTACCAACTTCCTCCTGGATATGTTCTTCGCAAATATTTTACTATGATTGACGTCTCGACTCAAACAACACATGTCTCTAAACAGTACACAACCTCAGTTATTACATCTAGAAAATAATTAAACAAACCAATTGATATTAGTTTAAAAACTAATTGCAATAATTCTAAGATTAAGGTGTCATTATATCACTAAGTGAAGTCAATTTACGCGTTTATTACAACATTAATATGATTCTTGAAAAATGTTAACCCTTTTATCGTTTTCGTTAAACGATTTTCGGTATAAATCATAAATAACTCTTCTAAAATAATAAGTTATCTAAACATAACATAACAGGAACATGTAGTTTAAATTTGCAGTACATAAAATTTTTATATATTTGAAAGTATTTTTAATAATTATCTTTAAAGCATAAGACATTATTAATACATTTTTTATAAGTAAAACATTAGATTGTTTGTCACTTGCAAGGTGCTCATGAATCCTTGTTGTTAAGTCTGAAAGTTTCTGCAATATAACTGGCATTATATTCAGCACAAAAATTTTGTAAACAACACGGGATTCGTTTTGTAATTTGTTGATAATGAAAAATAATTATGACATCTTAAGCTGGTAGTGAAAATTAATTATGACATCTTTTGTTGGTAGCGAAAATTAATTATGAGGTCTTTACAATATTTTTTAATGATTTTATTGATTTTAGATTTTGTAAAATTTGAGTAAATTCTTATAAATGAAAGTTTATAATATCTTATATTATGATTTTTAATACTATTTTATACAAATAGATTTAACTTTTTATCAAGAAATAATTTTATTTTAGTGTCAATTAATTTTTGTGGATATTGTTTTTTTTTTAAAACAGTATATAAATTTTTTTTTATACTTTGCAAATCCGGGTCATGTGTTGTTGATTTTATATGTTCTATCAATCAAACAATGTATAAGACTTATTTTATAACAATAGGGAACAAAACTGGAGAATTTTTGTAAAAGATCAGTATATATATTTTTTTGATATACTTATGCGAAACAGACTTATTGATAAGAACATCTAAAAATAGAAATTGATTGTTGTTCTTTTTCCATAGTAGATTTTAAGCTTTCATGCTGTTTATTAAGATGCTTAAAAAATTCGAGAACTTTAAACTTTTAATTAAAAATAACGATAACATCATCCACATAACGTTTATAGAAAAGTGGTAAGAAGGAAAAGCAATTATTAACTAACATTTTTGTTCGCGAAACATAATAACAATATTAGTTAAAATTGGCGCAAAAAGAGAACCCATGGTAACACCATTCAATTGATCGTAATATTTCCCTTTAAATAAGAAATGAGAACTGGCTATTGAGATTTAAAGTAATTTTTTGAATTGAGTTTTAGAAAAGTATTTGAAACACATTTCATGATTTAAAGTATTAATCTGTAGAATAATTTTAAATTTCTTTAAGTTGAATGTTAGTTTCAAAGCTTTCAACATCATAGGAAGCTTTACATATAGTTATATCAACTTAATATAACTTATATATAACTATATATATACATAGGTGATATAACTATATATTTAGTTATATCAACTTGTTTTAATTCCTCAACAAAAGAAAAAGAGTCACAGGTGGAACAAGATTTAGGTATATAAGGAGACAGTAAATCAGAAAGATGTTAGGCAAGTTTATAATATATGTCCTGATTGTTGAAAGTATTGGTCTTAAAGGTGGTAAAGAAGAACTTTTACTGGGTTTGTGCATTTCAGGTAAAGCATAAATTCTTGCTGTTTGTGAACCAACAAGATAAATTATATTGAAAATGTCATATTCAAAACAATTATGTTTTTTAAGTTTCCTAAGATACCCTCGTAAAGATAGTTCTCTTTTAATAGTTGGATTGTCTTTTAAATCCTTGAATTTAGTTTTATCACTTATAATTGTAGTTAATGATATAATATAGTCAACCTCATTAAAAACAATTATACCATTCCTTTTGTTTGATTTTGTGATTACGATGTTTTCATTTTTCTTAGTCTCTTTAACATTTTGTGTTTCCTTAGCAACCTTCAGATGGTGTGTATTTATATACATAATTCTTTGCAAAATGAAAAATTTTTCTTTTAAGTTGAGGTTCCGAATCACTGCTTCTAAATTGAGTATTGAAAAGTTGTGCAATGCTATAAAGCTGAATACTATCAAATGTCTGTCTTTTTTATAAAGACAGGCGGGGAGCAAAATTAAGACCGTTGGTCAATAAATCTAGTTCATCCTGTTGTAAATTGTATGATGACATTATGAATAGTTAATTTTGTGAGGTAGCATAATTTCTTCCTATGAGTTTTGATAATGGAAAGTTCTTTTTTTTTCTCGCTGTTATTAATTACTTTTAACAAAAAAGTACTACTGAAAAGGTGGGCAATTGTTTCTTACTTGAGATCTTAAAACATTTGATTCATTGAACAGAAATTTTTGTTCGTTGATTCTTTTATGTAATGTACTTTTGAGTAATTGTTTTTTATCGAAATTATATGAGAGTGGTATGCTAAAACTTAGATACTTTAGATACACTTTAAATAATTTGCAGTATTTAAGAAAGTTTATATCCAAACGAGCTTAGTTACTTTTAAATTAAAGCTTTTCCAGCTTATGTAAAACATGTACGGTTAAAAGTCCTTGTGGAGATTTTGCTAGAAAGTAAAATATAATTCTTGAGCAACGTAATAGCAATAAATGTGAGCATATTTTTAAGAAAAACACGCTTATTTATAATCTTGACATGTAGTATGTAAATACTACATTTTCAAATGATAAAATTACAATTTAGAACTCTGGAGTTTAAAATCAAAATTTAAAGACATTACAGAGAAATATTAACAGACAAATGGAATTGTTACTAACCCATAAAAGTTATAATACAAATTAAGATACCGTTAATAGCATGAATATAATAAATAAATAAAACATACTAGATTGACAAATTTATATTATAATGAACAGTTTGCTTACTCAAAAATGGGATTTCCCATTTAAAATGGAATGTTTCTTTAATTTTCAATTTGTGTTTGTCAAGAGCAGTAGGATAACAATTTGTGTTTGTTGGGAGTGTTAGGAGCAGTTTCCAAAATTTTAAAATAACTACAGTTACTTAGATTTATACAATTAACAGATGAAATTAAATTGCTTATAAACATTAGATTGTTTGTCATTCGTAAGGTTTTTGTTTTGTTTTTGTTAGGAGCAGAATCCAAATTTCGATAAGTTTCTAAAATCGATAGATGTATATTTAAAATTGTTATTGTTATGTACAAGATTTTTATTTAAAAAAACTAGAACGCAACGATACCTTTAAGTACAAAAGTAATATAATCTTTTCTAAAATGGTTTATTGTTTTTATGTTTTTTTAAAATTTTCAAGGATACATTGAAACACAAAAGTTAGAGGTGTACCCTCTAACTTTTAACAGGAAAAAAGTTCTATATATATTTCTATAGAAATTTTTTTTTTTCTACTTTTTTTTTTATAGAAAAAAAAAATTAACGGCAATTTCTATAGAAATTAATAGACATTATAAAGAAGTTCTATAGAGTTACTATAGGCCATATGTTTCAAAAATTTATAAAAAATTCTATAGAACTTTTTTTCCTGGGCTGGTATGGGGTTGAAACTTTATATGCTCATAATTTTCAAAATATAAGATTATTATATGAAATTGGTTATTGTATGAAATTTGAAATTTGTTGATGAATAGAAAATATTTTATAAACTCGTTGCTACTTCGTTAAGGGCTGAGTGGGCTCAAAAACTAGAAATTTATTTATCCCTAGCTCCAATCATTGCAATTTTTTGCAAAACATTCCATTTGACATAAGCATAAAGATAAAAAGTTTTAAGTTTGCACAATGCCTGCAAGTGTCAAAACTAAAATATCTAACAACCCAGTGTACACTTCTAACAATCCAGTGTACATTTCTGAAAGTACAATGACCGTTATTAAAATTGTGACATATGTGTTGAATTTATAGTAAAAAGCAGAATCTCTAAGCTATAACATTTTAATGTCATTAAACATGGTAGAATAAAACAAAAAATTTGTATTACATTATTTTAGTAAAAACAGTCTTGCAAGACAAAAAAAATTTGGTTGCATTTACCGAAAGTTTCAAAAAGTTAACTCTTTTGTGCTTTATTGTATCGACAAGATGAAAAAGAATAACAAACTTAACATCAGAAATTGTACATGATCAGGGTTAGAACTATGGCTATTTAGAATTCTTCTTTGTCAAACATTATAGCGTTAAAACTAAAAGTATAGTTTTTAATTTTATTGGTTTTTAAACATACATACCTTCTATAAACCAACTTT